GAAAGATGAAAATTTTAATAACCTTTTATAAGAAATACTAATAAAGCAAGATGTGACAAAAATGAGTTCAGTCTATCCATACTATATTGAAAGATCATACTCAATTTATTTTTTGTCTTTTTTATGTATTTAATACAGTGTCTACAGGGTCTCACTTTACAGATCAGACTCATAGTGATCCTCCTGTTTTCAGCTTTCTAAGTGTTGGGTTATAGGTGGGTGCCACCATGCCCAGTCTCAAGCACTGTCTCATTGCGCCCTGTGGGCGGAGCTGGAACAAGCACACTGTGGATTGTACATTGGTCCCTGCATCTGTCTAAGCAGGTACTTTAGTCTGTTGAGCTATCTGGCCAGCCCTTATTTTTTATGTTTTTGAGACAGGAGCTTACCATGGAGTTCAGGCTGACATTGAACTCATTTTGTAGCCCAAGCTGGCCTTGAGCTCACAGCAATCCTCCTACCTCAGCCACCCAAGTGCTGGGTGTGTACCACCATGCCTGCTGATTTTTTTTTTTAAATAAGAAATCTTAAAAATAACTATTCAAGGCAAATTGTTAGAAAAGTAACAATGACAAAAAGTCCTATAAAATAAACTGAGATAAAATGTTCTTCTGTCTTTAGGCATTTGCCTATTCTAGTCAAGGGAAAAGAAATAAAGATTCCAGACATTCTAGAAAGAATTACCACTAAGAACAAAGTTACCAACAGACAAAGGTCTCTCAGTCTCAGCACTATTGACACTGTCAACAGGATAGTTCTTTGTTGTACAGAGCTGCCCTCTATACTGTAGGCTATTAGTTGTATTTCTGATCTCTCACTAGGTGCCAATAACATCTCCTTGCTCTTCCCCAGCTGTGACTAATAGAAGCTTCTGTAAGCATTATCAAATATGCCCTCGGAGACAAAACCATGTCTGGTTGAGGACTGATTTAGGCAGTTAACAACATAATAAGCTCTGATTCAACACAACAATACATGCTCTGACTTGTAATATTTGCTGATTTTTATAGAAGTACTTTATCATTGGTACAAATGTGTAAAGTACCACATTTCAGGTACAAATGTGAAACTACCAAATATGTAGTTGAGAAAAGATATGTACTAACACTATGAAATAATATTTCTATAGCAGTATTTCTGTGTATGTTGTAAATAACATATAATTTTAGTTAAATGACTGGGAATGATGAATTTGAAATATTTATTGCCTTTTAAAATATAATTTAAGTAGTAAAGTTTATATAATTTTCAATGAGGCATAATTAAGCAACTGAATCAAAATGTTTCTAAGATGTTAGCAATGAAATCTCTCAGGGTTCAACACCTCATTGTAAGGTAAATCTGATTAGGGAGATCTATAACAGCTGCATATCAGAGAATAGCATGAATCTGTGTGGTGGGAGATCATATCAGCCATAATTTTCATACATAATGTATGCCATTCATAAAAAATTACACTGGGAAGGCTCAAAGGTCAGTGGTGAAGCTAGAAATGCTGGCAGGATAAAGGATCTGTGCTAGCAGGCTGAGGGAGCTGAACTAAGACTAGGAAGCAGTGCTCCAAGTGAGGACCAGAGCTCCCCAAAAAAGTACCATAGCTGTCCTCAGCAACAGTGAGGTATCAAGCTCCTCCAGTAATGAGGACAGCTGAGTTCACATTAGGAAAGCCAACATGATAAGCTTTTCCAGGAGACTGAACAGTATGATGCTTAAAGTAAGGACCAGAGCTCCTGTAAAGTGAAACATGGCCATCCTCAGGGACAACGAAGTCCTGAGCTCCTCCTCTGACAAGAACAGCCAAGTTCATCAGGAAAGACAGCATGACAAGGCCCTCCAGCAGAATAGTCCAAGAGAACCAGCAACTCCCTAATAGCTTTGCAACAGTTCCTTCAAACAGATTCCCTAACAGCGTCTCACTTTTTTCTTTAGTTCTCTCTCTTATGCTGCTGGCAACAATCTTCAGGTGGGCCTGTCACAACCCAGCAACATCTTAGTTCAGTTCAGCTGGGTATAACAAGTTGAACACCAGTTGGCAATCCACCACATTTATTAACACTGGGATTGCTTAAAGGCTATAGAAAATACTGTGGGCTGGTGTCAAAGGACCAGGGGCTAGATCAAGCAGGCATCAACTTCTCATCCATAATAAATTGAAGGGAGTAGGATCTTGCAACAGACTGAAAACCCAAAAATGAACTAAACCTGGAAGACACCTTTGAGAAGTACTAATTTCCTAAGGATTATATTACAATAAAGCAACTCACCATAGTCCATTTATAAGAATTAACCCAGGAGTTAAACTAAAAAAGAAAGAAAATGAGTAGACAAAACAAGATGCAACCCAAGAAATCCAGTTCACCAAAGGCAAACCCTGGGGAAAATGAGTAGACAAAACAAGATGCAACCCAAAAAATTCAGTTCACCAAAGGCAAACACTGGGGTTAATGAGGTGGGACAGCCTGAAAGCCATCCATCTGGCCTCTCTGAAGTGGTAACAACAGAGCAAATTAATAAGGCTCTAGAAAAAGTCAAATTCTCAGATAACTACAAAAATGGCCACCACAATGAAAAACATGTTTAGTGACTCTAGAGTGGACACAGATAAAAAAATTATAGGAACTTAGGAAAATGATGGAAACCATGAATGCTCAACATAGAAGAGAAATAGAACCTAAGCAAGGCATGAAGACTGAGGCAGGAGGATTGTTGTGAGTTTGAGACCAGCCCAACGTGCAGAGTGAGCTTAAGGCCAGCCTGAACTACATATCAAGACTATAAAAGAAAAAGTAAAAAGAATAGCATCCATTAAACAGATTCAAGCAGCTATCCAGGAGACTAAATATGAATCAGTGTGAGGACAGAATCTCAGATATTGAGGCTTGTGGTTAGCAATCATGAAAAGGAAGATTTCTTAAAAATAGCAAGGAACCATGAAGAATATTGTAAGATTCATTGGGGAAAAAAAGCAGGCAATATCATACATGACACAAATAACCTGTTCAGATATGTCATGCCAGAAAATGTCACTGGCAGGGAAAAAAAAATTTGACATGCAGGTAATTGAGGCTTATAGAATTATCCATGGTTTAAAAAAAAGTCTACAGCTATGCATATTGTAGTCAAGATTACAGAAATTCAGCACGCGGACAGAATATTAAAAGCTTCTAGGGAAAAGAAACAAGTCACTTTTAAAGGAAAGCTCATCAGAATTGCAGCTGAACTCTCAACACAAACCCTCAACTCAAGGAGACCTTGAAGTATTTCAAGCCCTATAGGAAAAACGAACTCCAAGTCAGATTGATGTATCCCAGAAAACTATATTTCAAAACTGATGAATAAAATACTTCCATGAAAAAGGACACCTGAGGAAATTCATGACTATCAGACAAGCAGAATATTCTAAGGACATTCTAGAATGAGATAACAAGAACTACAAGTCCATGACCCTAACCAAGGGAATTCACTAGCCAAGGCAAACAATTAAACGGTAGACGGGAAAAGAGAGCCAACAACAGGAAAATAACATGATGAGGATAAATCAGTACATATCAGTTATAATCATCAATGTTAATGGTCTCAATTCTCCTTCAAAAAGGAGTAAACTGGTAGAGTCAAGAAGCAAGGTGGGAATGATATAGTGCATATAAGAAACACATTTAATTAAAAAATTAATAGACTGAAAATGAAAGCATAGAAAGCAATACTCCATGTGACAGTTACCAAGAAAAAACAGGAATACTTATTCTGTTTTCAGACAAAGTGAATTTTTTTTCATTTTTTTATTTTTTATTTTTTTCAAAATTTTATTGATAAACAGATAGCAATGAGACAGTTTCAAATCAAATCGGGAGTACAGATTCAACAAATAACACACTGCATATATTCTTCTTAGTGGTTAATTGCTGTACAAGATGCGGACTTGAGATCCTA